GTAGGTTTGTTTGAAACATTTATTCAACATTTTTTGACTTTAGAAAGTTATATGGTTGAAACCGATAATGAAGCCAGAAAACTTAATTGCAGATAGGAAATTCTCAAATGTTTTCTCTAAAAATGTAATTTGTGAATGAATTAATTCATTCAATGTGGGTGAATTTATGAGTGTGATGGGAGAGGGGAGGGAGTGTTGGAAGGAGGTTTTTGAGTTGGTACATTAACTGTATAAATGTATCCTGTGCTGTGATTTAATGTATGTTGATTTAATAATATTCATATTATTTCTTTCTTTTGTTGGCTATTTGTTTAGATTTTATTTCCAAAATTGTACTTTTTCAAGTATTTCTTCAGGGTTTTTTTTTTTTTTTTTTTTTTTTTTTTTGATTTTTTCAGTCCAGTTAGATTTTTTTCTTGTAAGTTTTTGTCTGAGTTTATTTTTCAAATGTTTTTTAACAGACTGATTTAGAGCAGACTCATTTCTATTTGTCTGTTCACAGATCATCCACAGGTGTAAAATTTTGTAAAACAAGATTTAAAAAGAATGTCATTTTTCCAAAGGTTTCCCAAAGGTAATAAAAAAAAAGAACAATGTCTATAAAAATCCCATTTTGACAATAGAATCTGCAAAAACAATCTAGAAAAATAGCAAACTATAGAAATATTGGTCACACCTTTGCACGCACATAAATTATTCTCATAACGTCCTTCTTTTTGAGAAACTTTTTTAATTTTTGTTTTTTGTTAAATGCATTTTCTTTAACTGTCCTTTTTTTTTTTTTTCTTTCAGTCATATTGGACCACGTCTGCCCAAAGAGTTGAACAGTTTGTCTCAGAAAAAGGTAATTTTCTGCACGATTTATTGTAATGGCCACCAGAGGGAGACAGAACACACAAATTCCTGCTCGTGAGGGTCGGTGGGTTTCCTCATAGCAGGCCTTGATGCTCAGGTTGAACTCTTTTGGCCTAAATTTGATGACATCATTCAGTTTGAGTTGCTGCTGTGGTTCCAGAGGATAACGTAGTTCCTCTGAGTTCAGATAAGCAGCGTCCTCAGCCCCAGTTACTGTCAATATTTCCTTCCACAGTTGTAAATGAGCCGACATTAATGAAATATTTAGTGGTAAGAGAACAGAAACTAAGTCCGCTGGTAACATCATAGTGTCTATTATACACTGGTGCAAGTTGTTTACATGGGATGGTGGCAAGGCCCTGGGGGAGGTCTGTCCTGCTTCTTACCGTGCTCAGCGAGAGCAAACAACGCTGCTGCCATTTGCAACATGCAGAGAGGAAACACTCCTCTGGAGACGCAGAGAAGCCTGGATCTACAGCGGCTGGGTACCCAGACTGCCTGTGTCTTCGCTTCTTCTCCATATCCAGAGTTTAACAGAGGCCCTCATCATCACCAAGGACATTTGGAGACCTTTGAAGGAAAAGCGTGACTGGAAGAGTCTCCATCCTCCATCCTTTCATTGTTACCACTCTTCATTTTTGTTCTTTTTATCTTAAACCGGGTTTAAGCAAAGATTATCCCAGATCCTAAAACTCCTGGCTTCTAAAAATCTGGCTTCTAATCTGGAGGATTTAGTAGTTTATGTCCTGATGTTTTCCTTCTTCTATCATTTATGTTTTTAGATTACAACAATTAATTTCAATAAAATGAATTCAGGCTTGATGTGAAACATCAACACAAGCAGAGCATATCTATGAGGTAAAAGAAAAAGATCATTGTTTTTTATTCCCCTCAAATAAAATCTGAAAATTGTTGCATGGATCTGTGCTCAGGCCATGAGGAGCCACCTTTACTGTGATCTGGAGCCTGAGGGGGATGGAGGGCCAAAATATATCATAACTAAATATGAATGTCCCACGCAATATAGTCAACTTTTGACCCAACTATTAGCTTAATTTGGCATATAGCTCCATCTTCACCTCCTGCTGTGTATCAATGCTCCACATTGCTGTTTACCTCAGAAACTCTCCTCTCTGACCTCAGAGGGTCGACCCGTCTCTGAATGGGTCATGTGCACTGATCTCTATTTATTCACTGGATTGCTGATAGCCCGAAAAAGTTAAGCCACCGTCCGCCATGCTGCTTCTCCCCACTCCCATGGAGGCGCACAGTTAAAATGCCTACCTGTGTAGCATTTGAGTGCAAAAACAAGCAGTTTGCCATCTGTGGAAAGACGTTCCACAGGTAATTTCACGGTCAGTAGATGTACTAACCAATAAAATCCATATATACGCCAACGTATCCTATAGTTTACTATGTAGCGTAACATTGTTCTAGCTATCTCATACCGTCTTAAAGTTATTGACTGAGTTAACCATTGACATTGTGTTTAAAGTTAGAAAATAGAAAGTAGAGTGAAGAGAAAGTAATTTACTGTGAAACATCAATGTAGTAATTTATTATTAAGTGGATGACGCTGTTGTTCCTATAGGGTTTGTTGTATTTCTCATTTGAAAAACATATATTCAGAAATAAATAACAAATAGCGACTAAAACATTTTATGTGTATATATATATATATATATATATATATATATATATATATATATATATATATATATATATGAGAATTTTGTGGGTCTGGCGAGTGGGAAAGAACAGGAGTTGGAAGACGCGCCAGCAGCACTTTATAGGTCTGCTGTATGGGACCACTTTGCATTTAGAGTGACCTACGATGACGGCGGAAAGAAAGTTGTGGATGAAAACAGTGTGCAAGCATTGTGCAACACGTTTTGTTTATGCTAACAGCATCATGACCAACATGTCAGGCTAACAATCAACATATACCGAACCGAAAACCGTGACCACGAAACCGTGAACCGAACCGTGGATTTTGTGAACCGTTCCACCCATATTGGCCACATTGGTTTTGGTGACTAAACAGTAGGGCAGCACCCATTGGTGTGCCAGTTTTTGCACGACTCCGCCCCGTGTCGAGGAGCTTAACCCCCCCATGGGACCTACCGGTGGTACCTATCAGGTGCACCGTTCGAACCGTTGCATCAAACTGAGCTCAAAATACTGTAGTTTAAGACGGCTTTGTTAATTGCTCTGGTCTCTGCTAAGCGTGTGAGTGACCTCTAAGGAACTCTAGGTGGTACTGAAATCTAACCCTGCGTTTATACCAAAGGTTATTAACCCCGCTCTATCATGCCGCCCTCTTGAGTTGGTGGCTTTCTACCCTTCCCCTCTCAGGAGCATGAGCGACTCCACTCGCTCTGCCCGGTACGAGCTCTGAAGATGTATGTGTAGAAAACACCTGGTTTCTGCATATCTGATCACAGCTGATCAGCTGTGTTTCATGGTCCCCACCACATAAAGGGAAGCCCCTCACTAAACGTCTCTCACATTGGATAGTGGGAGCTATTATCATGGCTTATGAGGTTAAGGGCCTCTCACCCCCTGCAGGCCTGCAAGCTCATTCCACTCATGGTAAGGCGTCATCCTGGGCAATGTTTCAGGGTATACCTTTGGAGGACATCTGTGGGGCTGCCAGCTGGGCAACTCCTCACACCTTCACTAGGTTTTATAGTTTGGATGTTACCACACGGTTCTGGGTGTAGGATCTTCACCTTTATAAGTTAGGTCCTCGAGTAAGCTTGTCTGGCAATACGGGAGTTGCAACATCCCATAGTGAGATACCGAAATGGTTGAAAGAGAACTTTAGGTTAAGGAATTAACCATGCTTCTCTGAAACAGGAGTGAGGTATCTCACCAGATCACCCTCCTTAACTGGAGCGAGAAAGAGGTGTGCTACGAGACTGACAATCACCGGCGTGACGTCAGCTTCTTATACTGGGGATAAGTCCCTCCCCCAGTAGGAGACGTCACCTCTGTGAGCCAGTCATGACTGGCGTAATGTTATAGTTCTTCTGGAAACAGGGCTGGTTGCGTGTCCCATAATGAGATACCTCACTCATGTTTCAGGGAATCAGTGTTAATTCCTTAACCTAAAGTTAAGGCTATTCAAATAAAAAATGATTGGGGTACCACATTTTTGCACCCGTCAAGTTTTGATTTAATGCATATTGCACATTTTTTGTTAGTCCAATAAACCTCAATTCAATACTGAAATATTACTGTGTCTATAAGTTATTAGATATATCAAAATGAAAAAGCTGGTGCAAAGACCCAAATATTTAGAAACAAAAATAAGGTTAATAGGGGTGCCCAAACTTTTTCATTGGCAAATTACCTGCTCTAAAGGAAAAATACAAGTAATTCTTAGTTTTTCCTGCACAACAGCAGTATCACACACTAAAGATGACCTGGATTAGATCAGGTAAATCTGGCAATGAAATTAGGATTTCTGTACTTAAATATTAGCCGCTTAAAATTATTTTTTATTCTAAATGTCAAACTTATTCCATCGTTAAATTTTTTAAATTAACAGATAAATATTCGCATAAAAAAAAGAAAAAAAAAACTCATTGGCACTTTTTTAGTTTATTATTTTTTATTTTTTCCAAGGCGAGCCAGCAGTAAAGGCTTTTAGGAATCCTGCTTATTTTCCATGAAGTATTTAATGTTTCTGGACCATTGGAGACAAAGCTTCAAGTTATTTCATCATGTAAAAGCATCAATCACACATTTATTGGGAAATCTTTAATTGGTGTCAAAGACCTGGTTCTGGAAATACAAATAAAACTATTTGACTTAAACATCCTTATAAAGGCTAATTAAAAAAATAAAATAAATGCAGCAGTGATCAATGCATCAGGAAGGAGGGTTTGGTTAAAAAGCCTGACACTGATACCTGGTGGAAACAAACCTGCCTGTGATTCTCCACCTCTGGACACCGTAAAACACAAAAAAACCTTCAGAACTTGATAAAATAACAGGATAATGCATGAAGATCACAGAAATCTACAGAAACTTTCATGTAAAAAGGTGTAGCAGCAATTTTATATATAAATTTATAAAAGAAAATAAAAATCTGACATTTAAAATGAGGCAAAAAAACTGCAGGTTTGAAAAAAAAAAAGAAAACAAAGGAAATGAAAGATACTCTATGTTGCAGCTTTTAAAGCCTGGCTAGTTCTGCTGTTCTTTGAGGTAGCCAAGCTACGGATCCCAAAGAAAAATAAAACTAATTATGGCCACAATTCAGCCAAAGAGAAAAATAAAATAATCCTTTTAATCTTGCACAAAACATTCCCCATCATGCAAAGCCCACTTCGTAGCAGCACATAGGACCAAACATGGCCCTAGAAATAGTTAAATGGGCAAGTAAGATGAAAAATGATAAAAACAAAATTACCACACACGCTAAACCACTGTCAAACAAATGCACGCCATCAAGTAAAGAACCTGTGAAACCTCGATTCGCTGAGAGGACGACGTGTCTGCAGGGACAGGAAGGCTGCGTCGCCTTCGATGTCATTTCTCCAGACGCACCGACTTCCTTCCATATCAAACCAACCAGTAAACGTTTTTCCGCCTCACCTTCTTTCAGTTTCAGCTTAATAAGAGTAGAAATCTGTCTTTTTCTACTGGTGGAGGTGGGGCTCAGGGGGAGGCGTGCACATCCTTGGTCTGATTTTTGGCCCTGCAGCTTCGGCTCCGTTCAGCTCTTCTGTTTTTTCACTGCTCAGAGGTGGAGTCAGGACGCCGGAGGGGACGGGGCAGCCGCTGTGCTGTTTCAGATCCGCGTCCTTGTAGGAGTAGGCCCTGTCCTGCACAACAGGATAACAACACGGGTCAGAATCTACAGAGGTAGATTTCTATCAAAATATCTGTGTTTATATTTTAAGATTGACAATCTGCGAACGGCGCTAGGCTTACCGCACCGTGACGCCACTGCTGGAAGATGTCAGGAGTGAGGCGTTACTATATTTGGGCAAAAATGGCTGCCTCCAGACTCAGTGATTGCGACAAATTATTGTTTTTGTTTTTTTACAAACGCTAAATTCATTAAATCACAGCGAACGTATTAGTTTTAGGTATAAATGCTGATCCATTAGTTATTCCTTGCTGACCTGACCTTTCCTTTAATAAGAGGACAGCTAATAAGCTAAGGTAATAATTATTAGCATTACTTGCTAAGCAACACCAGTTATTAATGGCAATAAATTCTTTGCAACTGAATGTTTAGCTGTATAAGTAAAAAAAAAAAAATTAAAACAGACATTTTGAATTAAATCTATCTGGATTTAAACCCTCCAGCTGGGACCTCTGAACATAGAACTATGCAGCATTTCCAGCGTCTGTCAAACATGTTTTCAGTCAAATTTACCAGCCATGTGAGGTAGGATGCGTGGCGCTGGATGTTGTGCATGTCGTCCGCTGGGATTCCTGCAAAGATCTTCATTTGCGACCCGCCGGCCTCTCGCAGCGCCATGGCGAACGGCACCATCCACCTCACGCACTCCTCCACCTCCACCCTCTTCAGAGCTGCAGGGAGGAAATGAAAAAATTAGATCAGCGAGGCAGAACAGAACGAGCCCAACTGCAGACGTCCTCCTGCCGACCGAGCAGCGGCTTAAAACAGAGACAGGAAGTACAACGCTTACGCTGGAAGTGAGACGGCTGTTTGAACGGAGCTCCTTTAGTTCAGTTTATATTTGGCCGTCACTTCAACGGGTGGGAGATTTCATTATGTGGAAGGATTGTCTGCATTTAATGAGAGGTTGACAAATAATAAATATTTGGAACGGCATTTCCAGGGAAGGCAAGCTAAATATGCAGCTGACCACCAAGTTGGGAGGGAGAGAAAAAGTTTGATTGCAGAACTTCTGGATAAATTAGAGAGCAAAGATAGTTTTAAGAAGTAGATTGCATCTCCACTACTGCTGCTAGTTTTGTTTCAAGCACGAAAAACCGTCCAACAGGCAGCGCTCTGATGCAGGGATCGGAACTTTCTTCCATTTATTCCCCAAATCCTAATAACATAAATCGCACCAAGGAACGCTGGTGAAGGAGGATGTGGGATTTCAGGGTTGGAGAGCTCTGCTCTGATGGATGTCAGTTCCTGCTTTGTTCATCATGACTCAGTCAAATCCTCCCAACAGAAACACGTCCACCATAGAACGATTATATTTTATATAATTTCATCTGGAAAACCGATCCATGCGTTTATTTTTAGTCAAATTGATTACTGCAACGGCATTTTCACAGGTCTGCCTAAAAAATGGATCAGACAGCTGCAGCTGATCCAGAACGCTGCTGCCCATGTCCTCACTAAGACTAAGAAAGTGGAGCACATCACCCCAGTTCTAAAGTCCTTACACTGGCTCCCTGTATCTCAGAGAATAGACTTTAAAATACTTCTGTTAGTCTATAAATCTCTAAATGGCTTAGCACCTAAATACATCACAGACTTGCTGTCAGTGTATCAACCCTCCAGACCACTCAGGTCTTCTGGCTCCAGCCTGCTCTGCATACCTAGAACCAGAACTAAACATGGAGAAGCAGCATTTAGTTCCTATGCTCCACTTATCTGGAACAAACTTCCAGAAAACTGTAAAAGTGCGGAAAGCCTGAGTTCCTTTAAATCAAGACTAAAAACACATTAGTTTAGGATTGCCTTCGACTGTTAAACAGTTCAACTAAAACATTAGTTCAACTTTTTATTTTCTTATGTCCAAATGTTTTTAATGTTTTTTTTTGTTTCTGCATTTTTTTTCCTACTTGCTTTGATTCTGTTTTACTTTCCTATATTTTAATCATGTAAAGCACTTTGCATTGTCTTTGTACTGAATTGTGCTATACAAATAATGCCTTGCCTTGATCAATGCAACAAAACAAACCGCGCGGTGAAAGCCCTCACCTCATGCTACTATGCAACATTTGCTCCAGGATAAACATTTAACCATTAATGCTTATTATATATTTAAGCCCACATAGTCCTTTTCTTTAGTGGGATAATACTCTTAGAGCCCGTGTTGCCATACGAGGCTGATAGAAGACTTTTACATTTTTGCAGCTTCAAACAGATCAGTTTCATTGGTTCAATATGGCTCTTTGAGCAGTGTGGGTTGCCAACCTCTGGCCTAGTCCCTTGACTGAGGAACCAGCAGGTGGCCGAGGGGCAGATCTAATTTGGACTACAGTGAACCCTCGTTTATCGCGGGGGTTACGTTCCACAAGAACCCGCGATAGGTGAAATCCGTGAAGTAGAAACCTTTATTTTTTTACAGTTATTATACAATGAAATACTCCATAAAACATTGAAATCAAGGAACAAAAACTTTTTTACAGGCCCAAGCATTTGTTAAACAAATAAAAGTACGGTATAAACGTTAACTACTGTACTGTAAAATAATATAGTTATAAATAAATAAGTAATAATTTTAATCATCAATACGAACAGAAGGGTTAATATTGCATTGATCAGCACCGCCCCGCCGTGACGGATTGGAACGGGAGAAAATGAAAAATGATTATGAAAAAAAATACAAAGTACATTAGGACAAATAGTGACTGACGTGTACAGTACAGTATTTCACTGCTGTTTGACGGAGCCACTGCATCCTGATTGCTCTGTGGCGTTTTTTTCTTCTAAAGCCTGCGGTGCACGTGTGTTATTGGGAGAGAAGAACATAGTTATCGGTAGATGTCGCTCTTTTTTTCTTCTGGGCCAAAAGATCCTTATAAACCGACATGCCACCATTAATATGTTTGACAATAAAGTTTAACAATGCATGATGCAAATCCGTGAAGCAGCGAGACCGTGAAAAGTGAACCGCGTTATAGCGAGGGTTCACTGTATACCACATTAGTACTAGGGCGGGAAATGGGGTTTTGTTTCATTTGGTTTAGTTAGGCTGGTGTTTTTGCCCCCCGTGTTTCTTTTGTGAACTGATCAGCTACTAATTTTCTCTTTGTTTCAATAAGGCAGGTCAGTTTGAGTTAGGTCTGTTACTGGTTATTTTAAGTAGTTTTGGTTTCTTTTACCTCATATTTCGATCCTTTTTATACTTGTGACATTTAATCTTTTTTGGGTTAAATAAGTGAATCATGTTATTTGAAAATACACCAATGCCTGACTCCTTACTGCTCGGTCCATCACATTCATGTTTATTTATATTACAATTTTAGGGCATATGTTTCAGTTTTATTTTATATTGATTATACAGAACAGTGTTTTGATAATCTCCAGTATGCACGATGGGAAAAATTCTTCCTAGAGCCTCCTAGACAGTGACCATAAACCCTCGCCTTAATGGCAGATTAGACTTGTGCAAGACCAGGTCTGGTCGAGAACCAGCATTGCTGCCGTCGGTCTGGAATTTCTAAGGATAGAAAGCAGTTTCCCGCCAAAGTGCAAGGCAGAGCCTATTCGAGATCTCGCCAGAACATCGGCAGCGCTGGCGGGAGCGTTTATCTTCCGAAACGGTCACAGAGATGGATCTAGCGTTGCTAGACATCGAAGATCTATTTTTATAATTTGTCTGAGGCATCGTACAAGTGGTTGTACTTCTGAGCCTCCTTGATTAACCTTTCTTTGTAGTTGTTCCTCGGTTTTTAAAAATGGCGCGCCCCAGCAAGGAATGGTGAAGGACGACCATACAAAGCGCCGGAAAGGCATACCAAGGACCAATTACAGCTGCTTTTTGTCCGTGCACTTTCACTTGAGGTCTGCACGGGTTTGGGACCGTCCGACGCCTAGTCATGATTTTTTTGAGATGCACAGAGACAGATCTGATGGTTGCAGAGGCTATGCCTCAGAAGCATGGATTGGCCTTTAGGCTCAGCGCATCCAAGCAGCAGATGAAACTTAAGCTCCGCCTCTGCAGGCAGTTTTTCTTACCTGAAACGTTTTCCACCAGCTCCAGGGAGGAGAAGTGAAACAGAGCAGATGCAGCGAGAACGCCGTTGGAGAACTCCAGGCACTGCACATCCAGCATACAGAGGTCCAGCAGCTAGCGAAGGACCAGAGGAGACGGACCAATCAGAGCATAGCGTGAACTGAACCAGCTCCTCTGACAGAAGTGGATCTGTTAAGGTTTAACTGCTGAACCTGGTTAACGTACCTCTGCGATCTGCGTGAAGGTCTCCTGAGGGTATTTGGGGATCAGCAGCTCATCGGTGTCCTTCAGGTAGGCCACCTGCATGTAGACGTTGAGCCAGGAGATGGGAGTCTGAGGACTGAGACTCCAGTTCAACTCCTGTAGAAGGACAGGAGATGAGCAGCTGGAGCAAAGCTACAAATCATGCAACATTCAACAGAAAGGGACGATGCTTCGCTGGTAGAGCAAACCAACCACAGCACCTACATGTAAAAATACATGAAATGAGAGGTTTGAGGCCTCCAGCGTGGCAGGCCACGGGCCCCCCAGTTCACAGGTCTGGATCCAGGAAGTAAAATCATGGATATGAACAGGTAGGCCTGAGTCTGACTCTTCAATTTCAATTCAATTCAGTTTATTTCTATAGCGCCAAATTCACAACACATGTCATCTCAAGGCACTTTACAGTTCAACCAGATCATACAGTCAAATGGATTCAAAGTTTCTATCCAAGGAGACAGAAGCATTCCTATCCGACGGCACCTGGTTACCATCGGCTAAACCTGGAAGCTACAAAAACTGATCTAAATAAAGGAACTATCTCCTAAAATCAGTTGCTTTGCCTTTAATTGTTAAGTTCTATTCAAATAAAAAAAAATAAAAAAATTTTAAAAAGGGAGTGTTGGCCTAGCGGTTAGAGCAGTGAGCTTGTTCTCTGTAAAGGTTTCAAGTACCCGGTTCGATCCTCCCAGTCTCCACCCTGGTTTCCTGAGCAAAACCCTTAACCTCCACATTGCTCCCAGGGAGCCGCACAATGGCAGCCCACTGCTCCCAAAGGGGATTAGTTAAATGCAGAGTTAATTTCTCCAATGTGAGATCAATGAAGTTCAATTACTATAATTAATTGGAACAGAAAATGTACTGATGAAACGAGAGCAGTTTCTCAAATCACAAGAACGCGAGTATAGATTCGTGTTAACGCCAAATATGTTCTTATGAAGAACACAGGAGTGTTTGGACGAAACGAATAATGGCAAGCCGTTATTTTTTTTTTATAATAATAAAAAAAAAATTGTCAATTTTAACATTTTATTTAGATTACAAAAATAAATCACAATTTTTAAAACATCATAAATAGGATCATTTTTATTAAGACCTACGAAAGACTAATTTAAGACATTTTAATACCAACTAAGGCCTTAATTTTATTTTGATGAATTCAATGGCTTTTAAGACTTTTTAATGACCCGCGGGAACCCTGTCAAGGGAAAAAAAACATGTCAAGAAAAAATTTAAAACCAACTTTGTGAAGGAATCCATTTGCCTCCCATTTCTTATGGAACTGATCTTTCTTATAAATAACTACAGCTATTGTGATTCTGGAGCTCCAAACATCCAACCAGGTGATCGTCTCTCCTCATACATCAATTCATGGCTTCTCGCCTCCTTCTGTTTCTCCTCAGTTCCTTTTTTGCTGATTAACTTTCATGATGAAGAAAACAACTGATCAAAATACTAAAATGACCAATAATTGATAAATAACTGAGAATGAATGCATATTTTTGATCAACGCAGTAAGCATCGATTTAAGATCTTCAGTTTTCTGTCAAATAAAATCTCGGGTTTATTTTGTATTTATCATCTTAAGTAAAAACCAAACAGATCCCAGCCTTATTTATTCTGGGCTAACCTAACATTTAAACCAAACTTTAAACTCAGAAATGATCCACTCAATCAAAACTACATTAATCCAGTCACACAACCTATAATATCACAGGACAGCTCTCCGCCTCTCCTCATTTAAAAGCTGCTCTCAGCTCCTCTACTCTCTGTAGCTTAAAGCTGCTCCTTTGATTTTCCATTTATTTTCCGTTTTAGCACCTCCACGTGTTTCTAGGCTTCATCACCGGATGATCCTGAATTAGAGCCAACATGAACTGAGGGGAAACCCGCCTGATGTTAATGAGCTGGGAGGCTTTTTTTCTATAGTCAGCTCAGCCAAACGTTCTGCTCCTCAGAGCTCCAGGGTTCCCTACCTTCATTATAATGATCTCCATTCTGAGGATCTCATCTTCTGTGCAGGCTTCATCTGTGACGTAGGCAAACTGATGCACCTTCGGAGGATACATCTCCTAAAGCACAAAGGAAAACATGTCTGGACCAAGGAACCGAGCTTCCTGAAGAGAATCAGAGACCAGCAGCTCCAGGCTCACCTCCACTTTGGCTGCGATGAAGAGACAAGTGATGCCGATGAGCTGCAGGGTGGATTTGAAGATGTTCGTCTGTCTGGCCATGAAGCGATCGAAGTAGTCCTGAGCCAGGTGATAAGTCTCTCTGTGCAGTTTGTAAACCTCGCTGACCTAAAAGCACAAGTTCAACTTCAAACATTTCAACCTGGGAATAAAACATGAAAACCTGATATATGGTGCACATTTTAGACCAATATTGCTGCTTCTTCCTCATGATAAAAATCACCTGATGATGAAGCTACACCTCATGACAGGTCTTGTTTTAGACAAAAGAAAAAATTGAAAT